TTAAAAAAAAAAAAGAAGGGCGCCTGGGTGGCTCAGTTGGTTAAGCGACTGCCTTCGGCCCAGGTCATGATCCCGGAGTCCTGGGATCGAGTCCCACATCGGGGTCCCGGCTCAGCAGGGAGCCTGCTTCTCCCTCTGACCCTATCCCCTCTCATGCTGTTTCTCTCTCTCTGTCAAATAAATAAATAAATCTTTAAAAAAAAAAAAGAAGAAGAAGAAGAAGTCACTTTCTAGGTTTGTTTTTAACAGTACTGTCTTATTCAGAGTATCTCTTCATTTTCAGAGTAAGCCCCAGTCTCCAAAGGGAATTGCTTCCCTTCTCGTCAGCAATGGCTCCAAAGAAAATGGCATCCATGAGGAACAAGACCAAGAGCCCCAGGATCTCTTTGCAGGCAAGTATGGACTCAAAACCTGTACTAGGAGTCTTCTGAGTCGCTGAATTAAACAAGCAAGATCTATATTGGAAACATAACTCTGTAAGGATACCATTGTGGAAGATTACAAATCAAGTAGAATGTAGCCCTTGCCATCAAGATTCTGCCAGGGTTAGGGAGTAAGACCTAAACATACAGATAGAATTAGACAGGCTACTAAATAATGTAAATGTGGCAAAAAAAAATGCTAGAAATAGTAAGTCTCAGATCTTCGTTTGAGATCAAACTAAAGTAGTGTCTTTAGATTTATGACCAAGACTCATAGTAAGAATTACATTTTGTCACAATCCAAAATATATGCATACTTATATAAAACTGAAACAAAAATGTTAAGTGACTTGCCCTTACTACTTTCAATACAATCTGAAATATCCTATTGTTTCTCCCTTTTTTTTAATGCTATTTACAACCAATTGAATTGATTTCACAGTTTACCAATGAGCCACGTCCTGCAGTTTGATTAAGACTAGGACAGAGTGGGGTTTCTTAACCTTGGCACTATTAACATTTTGGGCCCAATAATTTTTTGTTGAGAGGGCTTCCCTATTCTCAACAGGGGGTGATTTTGCCCCCCAGGAGACACTTGGCAACAGTAAGAGACATTTTTGGTTGTCACACCTGATTGTGCTATTGGTATCTGGTGGATAAAGGCTATAAATGCTGCTAACCACCCTACAATACACAAGACAGCCTCTCACAAAAAAGAATTATCCAGCTCAAAATGTTAGTGCCCATATTGAGAAACTGTTCTAGAGTGCCCTTGGAAGGCTTCCTGGAAGAAGAAGGGTTTATGTAGAAGAAAAGGAGAAAAGGTACAGATGGTTGGGCAGGGAATTCAAGGTACATTTGAGGGCCAGTCAGTAAACTTGGTGGGCCAGAGCAGGGAGTTCTTAGAGAAGCCATGGAAGATAAGACTTGAAATGTAGTTTAGGAGGATTTTAGACATCAATAATAATTACAGTTTGAATTTTCATCCTACTGTCAGCTAAGAGCCATTGGCAGTTTTGAATAAAGGAAGTGATAAGGGTAATGTTTTAAGAAGACTAATCTAATGGAATTATATAAAATGGATAGCAGTAGAGAAAAACTGGATACTTCAGAACACAATCACAAATTTGTTCAAGAATGAAATGGCAAAGACCAAAAATAAGAGGATATAAATGGGAAGGGAAAGGTGAAAACTTTTCAAAAGAAAAATCAACGTGGCGCCTGGATGGCTCAATCCATTAAGTGGCTTTTTTTTTTGCCTTCAGCTCAGGTCATGACCCCAGGATCCTGGGATCAGGCTCCCTGCTCAGGGGGGAGCCTGCTTCTCCCTCTCACTCTGCCCCTTCCCAGCCCCCTACTTGTGCTCTCAAGCTCTCGTGCGCTCACTCGCTCGCTCTCAAATAAATAAATAAAATCTTTTTTAAAAAATTACCTCCCTCTACCTGCTTGCCCACACGTGTGTGCACTCTTTCTCTCTCTCAAAATAATAAATAAATCTTAGGAATGCCTGTGATGAGACATTTAGTTTAGGACTTGAGTAGCTTCTCAGGTGTTTTAGATATCGATTGTGGAAATTTAAATGTTTGGGTTTTATTTTCCACATGATTAGTTCAGTGATGGAGCCCAAAGACTTCTCTATTACTCTTATCAAAAGTGTGAGGAAAAAAAGCCACTTTTTAATGTAGTTTTTACATCTTTGTCACATGAATGTCAGGAGAAAATGCACAGTTCTTCAAAAGGCTTTTAGTAGCACTTAGTAAGTCAAAGGTTTTAAATGAGAAGTATCTCCTGTTTCATTTCCAAACCCATTTATTAACTTAATTATTTACTTAGGGCCTGCATGATCTGAATATCTTCAACATACTTCAGCTGGTTGCTTGCTCCAAAGAATCCTATCATCCTGAGATGTTTATTATGTGTACTATTTTTGTTTTGTACTCCCACACCACGGTCAGATTATCTTACCACCTCTCTTCTCTTCCTGATAGGGACCAGGTTCTAACAGTGTGGCAACCATGTTTGTAGACATGATTCACATTTAATGATTAGCACATTGATCTAGAACTTAGTCATGCCTTATAGACCCCCATCTCTGGTTTCATTTTAGCTCCAAATGAAATCTAGAAAAGAAAAATAGTCACGTCTAGGTAGCTCAGTTGGTTAAGCATCTGACTTTGGTTCAGGTCATGATCTCGTGGTCCTGGGATTGAGCACCATGTCAGGCTCCCCACTCAGCAGGGAGTCTATTTGTCCTTCTCTGTCTTCCTCTGCCCCTGCCCCACCCCCTGCTCGTGCTGTCCGTCTCTCTCAAATAAATAAATAAAGTCTTTAAAAAAAATAAAAAATAGCTTTCTCTGAACTCCCTAAGACTAAAATTGAATACCTACTGACCAGGCCAAACTCAAATAGATATTTATGTTTTTGTTTATTAAAGAAGAAAACAAAATCTTTGCTGTTTAAGTTTTGAACTTCTTTTTTTTTTTAAGATTTTTATTTATTTATTTGACAGAGAGAGACACAGCGAGAGAGGGAACACAAGCAGGGGGAGTGGGAGAGGGAGAAGCAGGCCTCCCGCAGAGCAGGGAGGCCAATGTGGGGCTCGATTCCAGGACCCTGGGATCATGACCTGAGCCAAAGGCAGACGCTTAATGACTGAGCCACCCAGGCGCCCCTATAATCTTTTTTGATACAAAGAAATTAACAATTTTTATAATAACAAAAACATAAATATCTCAACTGAGATTTTCCCAGATAGACAAAGGTGGCTTTTAAGCATGATTTTCTTAAAACTATTTTTATTAGAAAGATTTTCAGATATTACAACATCTTTTCATCCCCTTTGGACAGCATGTATCAGATATAATCTTTGGGGCGCCTGGGTGGCTCAGATGGTTAAGCATCTGCCTTCGGCTCAGGTCATGATCCCAGGGTCCTAGAATCGAGTCCTGCATCGGGCTCCTTGCTCAGTGGGGAGCCTGCTTCTCCCGTTCCCTCTGCTCCTCCCTGTGCTTGTGCTTTTCTCTCTCTCTCTGTGTCAAATAAATAAATAAAATCTTAAAAAAAAATCTTTGCAAGCTGATCTAAAACTATAATTGTAAACAGTTATTAAACCATGCTAAAACAACATTGCCATCCTCAGGCGTGGCTAATAGTGCCTTTTCCCAAGTGTTACTGTGTTTGTATGTTGGGTCTATTTTTTCTAGCTTACCAGTTTTCCTGACTTCCTTTGATGTCATTTTTTGCTATCAATATGCCTGCCTTTAGCTGAACTTATTCTTCTTTTCCAAACAATTGTAATAGGAATAAATAGTTTATATAAGATTTTAAAGGAATAGTCCCAAGAGTAAAATAAATTGATACACTGACTTTGTAGTCTTTTTGCTTAATACCTGGTTCTTGCCTAAATTTTAGGTAGGAGAGGATAGCCAAGTAGTTGTATTTGGAAATGGGAGAGATTGTTCCGTCAAGCCTGTGCTAGAAGAACGCTTCCCGGGGTGCCTGGATGGCTCAGTCGGATAAGCATCTGCCTTTAGCTCAGGTCATCATCCCGGAGTCCTGGGATCAAGCCCTGAGCAGGGAGCCTGCTTCTCCATCTGCCTGCTGCTCCCCCTGCTTGTGCTCTCTCTTGCTCTCTCTCTGTCAAATAATAAATAAAATCTTAAAAAAAAAAAAAATGTATCCATGTAAAAATTTCTTTCTCTTACTCTGTTCACTTGGGTCAGATTTCTCAACACTTGCTCTCAGTTTGAAAACATGTTAAGTATTGAGAATGGTTGCTATTGTTTTTATCTCTTAAGCCTATAGAACTGAAACTTAGCCATCAAAGACCGATTATTGATCTTCATTATAGAATATCAACTTTTTTTTTAGATGCCACAGTGGAGCTCTCCCTGGACAGCACACAAAATAATCAGAAGAACGTGCTGGCCAAAACGCTCATTTCTCTTCCTCCACAGGAAGCTATAAATTCTTCTAAGTCCCAGCCAAGCTATGAAGAGGTGAGAATTTGTGCCTTTCATCTTGTTTCTTTTGGATTTTTAGGACTTTGCTGCCAGTCTAAAGTTCAGTTGAGTATGAACCTTGAGAAAATATTTATGACTCTTGAAGAAGACCTTTATGGTTAATGAACAGCCAGAATCCAATACCTCTTTCTTGGGCAGAGTATCTGTCACCCAAAGGATAGCACAGAGGCTTTCAATGAACACTAATGATACTTAGTGTCTGCAGCTCCCATATTCAAGAGTATAGTCTTTCCTCATTCCCTCCTTACACCAACAGAGGCAAGTCTTGCAAAATCTAGTAATTATGCATTATGATCAAAATAAGGTTTTAAGCAAATAGATGTAACAAAGACCTTTGAGCAGGCTTAAAATTGTGAAAGTTGATTCATTGGGGTTGTTGGGAAGGGACAGAGCTGAACACTGATGTATAGAAGGATATAGCTTGACGTTGTTATATTGATACAAAGTAAGTGCAGGGTAAAATTAATAGCCTTTTTTGTGTATTAACTCTCATGGTTTTTCTTCTCTTTAAAAGCTAGAGGAAGAAGAACAGGAAGACCAGTTTGATTTGACAGTCGGTATAACTGATCCTGAAAAGATAGGTGAGTGTACTTGGGACTCCTTCTAATGTTAGGATATGGCCAAGGAAAGCATAGCTAGCTAATTTCTACACAGTTATCTTCAGAGCTGAATTAGCCAACATGAAGTGCTTCGTCATTATCTTTCCTGTAAGATTATACCCCTTGCTATGCTTCTAAGGCCAGAAATAGCAGTTACCTAGTACTTTATTAGGCTTTTCTTTGCTTTTGGGAAAAAAAAACCAGAGACATTAAATACTATTAGAATCCTTTTTAAAAGATTTTATTTTATTTTTATTTATTATTATTTTATTTATTTTTTTTAGAGCAAACACGAGCTGGGAGGTGGGGGGCAGAGGGAAAAGGAGAGAGTATCTTAAGCAGACTCCACGCCCAGTGCAGAGCCTGACATGGGGCTCAATCTCACCACCCTGAGAGCATGACCTGAGCCGAAGTCAAGAGTCCGTCTCTTAACCAACTGAGCCACCCAGGGGCCCCAAAGATTTTATTTTGAAGTAATCTCTATACCCAGTGTGGGGCTTGAACCTACAACTCTGAGATGAAGAGTTACATATTCCACTGACTGAACCAGCCAGGTGCCCCAGAATCCTTTTTTAAAAATCCAAACATTGCTTTCTCCCATAGAGTTGATAAGATCATTTTACTCTTTTTTTTGAAATCATAAATTCCATTTAAGCATCCTAAAACACATGTTCTAAAATTTGAGAGTACTGCATTTGTTTTTCCCCCAATAAGTTTGGAATTCTTGTTATGTATCATTTATCACTTGATAGCCTAAAGAAGTATGTAAGTCTGCATCTCTCTTTGATAGGTAAAGACTAAAGGACCCAGGTTGAATTTTGGTCATATTTGGGGGAAGTTAGATTTTCAGAAAGCACAATGCTTAACTTTGGCCAGAACTTGGATTTTCTGGATAGCCTTCCCCTGTTCTAAGCTTGTAAAAGCTATTAGTGAGCAGAGAGTAACAGGCCTCGACTTTCCTTGTTCTATATATAGTCCCTGAGAGAAGAGGCTTTACAGAGCTTTTCCTCCTAAACAGGGATGGTGTTTATATGGTTAAGAAGAAAATGTAATTTTCAATCCTTTTTCTGTTCTGAACTAGGAAGAGGAATTTATAAAGTGTAACTAGACTTTGTGCCAAAATGGTTTGTCATTGAACTGTTGAGGTTGACTTTTCCTAGACTGTTGCACTGGTAGGATGTTTATGAGCATCTTTTTTTTTTTTTAAATATTATTTGAGAGAGAGAGGCAGCATGAGAGAGAGCACAAGAAGGGGGGGAGAGGCAAAGGGAGAGGAAGAAGCAGACTCCTCGCTGAGCAGGGAGCCGACGCGGGACTCGATCCCAGGAGCCCTGGGACCATGACCCGAGCTGAAGGCAGACACTTAACACACTGAGCCACCCAGGTGCCCTGTTTATGAGCATCTTACACAGTTTCTTCATCCAATAGTAGAGGAAACAGAGGACCAATAGGTAAAATGCAGCTTTCCTGTCAGGTCACAGTATGGCCCATGGTAGAGCCTGGACCAGTACTTTGGATTACATGTGCGGAATTATTTTTTGCCTCTCTAATATTTTAAATATTCTATAAGCACATTGATTTTTAAGCTAGTTATTACCTACTTTAAATCCTTGGTAGAATAAGAAAAATTATAACTAAATAATAGTAATTGTTTTAGTATTTAAAAATCATGATGTTTAAAAAAAAATTAAAGTCATAATGCTTAATAAACCAGGGGAGGGAGGGAATATATTAGTGTCCTAGGGCTTCTGTAGTAAAATACTACAAACAGGATGGGTTAAAACAACAGGAATATATTTGCTCAGAATTCTGAAGGCCAGAAGTCTGAAATCATGGTGTCAGCAAGGCCGTTCTCCCTCTGAAGGCACTAGGGAAGATTGTTCTTTGCCTCTCCCCTAGCTTCTGGGAGCCTCAGGCATTCCTTGGCCTATAGATGTATCATTTCAATCTGTGCCTTCATTGTCACATGGCATTCTCTCTGGGTGTCTTCACATTGTCTTCCCTCTATATGTGTCTGTCTCTGTCCACATTTCTCTTTATAGGGATACCAGTCACATTGAATTAGGGGCCACTCCCTCCAACCTCATTTTCACTTTACTTCTATAAAGACCCTGTTTCCAAGTAAGGCCACATTCTCAGATACTGGGACGTTAGGACTTTCAACATATCTTTTTAGGGGGACAGAATTCAACCCATAACAGTAATTTAAATATCCCATGGATCAGATTTATTTAACTACAAATCACTTAGGTGATTAGCTTTCATTCCCTGGCACCATAGTCTAGATTCTTAGTCATGTTGATGCCAGGAAACCAGCTCCTTAAAGCATATTCATATTCAAGACCTGATCTTGGGGCACCTGGCTGGTTTAGTTGGTGGTGCCTGCAACTCTTAATCTCAGGGTCGTGAGTTTGAGCCCCACGTTGGGTATGGAGATTACTTAAAAAAAAAACAAAAAAACAAACAAAAAAAACCCTGATCTTTGTAACAACACCTTCTGTTTGTGTGGGCTGTTTATTCATCATGTGCTTCTCATTCCTACACACAATCTAAATAAGAATCCAGGGCACCTGGCTGACTCAGTTGGTAGAGCATACAACTCTTGATCTTGGGGTCATGAGTTAGAACCCCACATTGGGTATAGAGATTACTTAAAAATAAAACCTTAAAAACATTAATTAATTAATTGGGGTGCCTGGGTGGTACAGTTGGTTAAGTGGCCAACTCCTGGTTTCAGCTCAGGTGGTGATCTCAGAGTTGTGCGATCGAGCCCGGCTTCCATCGGCACGGAGTCTGCTTCATTCTCTCTCCCTCTGCCCCTCCCACTCAGGCGCACGTGTTCTCTCTCTCTCTAAAATAAGTAAAGAAATCTTTTTTAAAAATTAATTAGAATCTAATTAATTAATTAGAATCCCACTTCTACCAGGATGTGCTTTTTAGAGCTTTGGTAATGTGTATATGCCATCTTCAACTTTCTGAAATTATTTAGGAAATTAACATAGATTTAATGCTGCTGTATTACTAGCCCATTTCCATATTTTATGAACTCTGTATGTACATGCAGGTATGTTTTTTCTCATTGCCTCAGTAAAAGCAGCTGATACGCTGGCAAACTGTCTGAAGATCGTGCTATGCTCTTACGTTTTATGTATGTTTGCACTTAGGCTTTCCTTAATTGTAGGCACTAAATTATGGGATTGACCTTTTGGAAATTTGACTATGACCTGTGAATGAAATTTTGAATACTTCTTCTATAAAGTAAATTTAGATTTTTTTTTTTCCTTTTACAGTGGTAAACATTCTTAGTAGTGTTAGGCAATGTAGCATAAGTGGTTTAGAAGAGAACTAACAGTGGTAATTGATATACAGTAATTTCTAAGTTTAGCTTATGATTTCTGTTTCATATACACCCTTTTGGTAGGATTAGAGAGGTAGAGAAGACAAGCCCTTTATTATAATCTCCAACTTGTCTGTGTACTTTATAAAAGCAGGCATTCCTAGCCATGTCATTGAAACCAAGTTGCAGTATGGGACCCTGCTGATCTTGTACCCTACCTTCTTCCCCTGGGCCCTCTCCCAGGACCAGTTCAGAAACTTAAGCAGCTAGTAATTATTGACCTAGGTTTTCCTGTTTGGTGTGGTTCCGGAAGGAATCGAGGGGTTGGGAAGAAGGGGACAAAACCAACTCAAAACACCAGATTCTAGCACTGGAGCTTTGTCTGAGGCCATTGTATGTCTTTTCCCTGCTCAGGGAGTCAATGGTGCCTTTATGTCCCTAAGTGGTCTAGGTCAGGACACTACCGCAGAGAAAAACAATTGCTTGAATCCCAAATTATTTAACAGTCAAAGGCTTTTTCAGAAAAATAATTTCTCCAGGAAAGAGATTTGTGTGACATCAGGCAGCCAGAGCGTCTTCCTGCCAGGCCCTTTGCTCTGGGTGAACATGCTAGATGAGAGAGGTCAGTGTCCCCCAGCACCAGTGGAGGGGTCCGTGACAGTATTTCTGAAAGAGCAAACCGAGCCCAGAGCTAGCTTAGGGTAGAACTGCTTGTTTCCTTTTACATCAGTTGCTTCCTTCTCCTCCTCCTGCTTTATACAGCAAGAGAATTGTTTGGTTTTAGACAGATGTGTATAACCAGCCCAAATATTGGCATGGTAACAACCGATGGATTGTCAGTATCCAGTGCTGCTTTGTGGAGGGTATAAATGGAGCCTGGCCTTGGAACAGGGGGCTGACTCTCTTGTCTGTCTCAACCTGGGGCCCTGCCAGCATCTGTGGGGACATGATATGTGACACAGAGACCCTAAGGCAAAGTAGGAGATTGTAGGATAGTATATAAAGCTTGGAGATGAAACAAGTATCCCTTCTTATCCAGGGCTCCTGTGGCTTACGATTCCTGGTTAAATGTGAGCAAGATCAGCATTGCTTTGGTTTGCAAAATGATCCTCTTGTGCTTTCTTGTTCTCCCACAGGGGATGGTATGAATGCCTACGTAGCCTACAAAGTTACAACACAGGTGAGTCCAAGTGACCTACTGGTGACCAGCTTAATAGACTTGGGTGTTTATACCAAGAAGGTCATCATTCAGATTATTTCTGGGTATTTCTTTAGTTTCTTTGCCAACATCCTCCTTCAAGTTTACTCAAGATGGAGCAAGCCTGCATTCCTTTGGTAATCTCATCTGAGCCTTTCCACTTTTCTTCCAGAGAGCTAACACTTCAGTGTGAAACTTTGTAAGTTTTATTAAGACATGTGGTATATCTGCTGTATTCCCATCCCTCTTAGGACCTTTGTGGCTTAGAACTAGTTTGGTGGATTGTCCCAAACTATATCACCTGTTTAAAAATCCTCAGTTCTTACGAGGTTTCCTGTGTGGAGCTTCTTTTAATACTTTCCCTACCCTTTTACCCCTCAGGTCTGGTCTTCCTTTTTTATATAACATTAATGCATACAAAACTTACACAATGTTGTATGCAGGTTATGAAGCATAAAAAATGAAGGCCCGAACCTGCCACCAGTCTTAAGATGAGTACCATTGAATCCACCTGCGTGTTTCTCCCTGTCATATCCCCTGCCTCACACCTTCAGGGCAACCACTCTCCTGAGTCTCTCATTTCCTTTATACAGAGTCTTCACATATGTATCTCTAAACAATATACTGTTTTGCTTTGTTCTTAAGTTTCATAAAAACAGCATCATGCTGAAAATAGTGCTTTCTTTACTAGCATTGTTTCTCAGACCCATCCATGTTGTGTGTAGCTGTAGTTAGTCCGTTGTGTGATTATAGCATAATATATTTATCCATTTTCCTATTGTGAATATTCGGCATGTTTCCAGTTTTTGTAATTATAAACCATGACCTTTCTTGCACATGTCTCCTAGTAAACACATAGAAGAGTTTCTCTAGGGTGTATAACCAGTAGTTCCCCTGGGTTATAGATAGAGCGAATGTTGAGGAAAGGGAATACAAACTTCCATTTTTGTTTTTGGAATACAAACTTTTTTAAAAGTCTTTGTGACAGTTTATACTCCCATTGGCAAGTGTAAAAGTTTTCCTTGATATACTTCTTCGCCAACAATTGGCAAGGACAGCCTCCTTAAATTTTGCCTACCTGGTGAGTATTAAATGATCTGTCATTATGATGTAGGCCTAGTCTTTTTTACTAGAAGTCTCCTTTATATTGTCTCACTACTACTAGGTGGCCTGCCACCTGTGAGATCTAGATTCAGTGACACTTAAGAGGTTAAAATGTCTACAGTGTGGACATTTCACCTGATCCTCTCCCTTTAGTCTGTCTTTAGTTTTGCTGCTTTAATTCCAGCAGCAAATACCCTTAATAAAGCAGTGCAAGATGAATGGGTTATAGGTGACCACAGATTTCCACTTTAGACTTCAACATCTGTTTCCTTTTAGAGAAAGCGTTCTTAACCTGGAAGTGGAACTGGATTTGAATTTAATTAGTTGCCTTTATAGTCCTGTACATTTTATGTTATGCATTTAAAATCATTATTCTGAGAAGGGCTCTGTAGACTCCCAGACAGCCAGAGGGGACTGAAGTTCAAAAAGTTTAAGAATCTCAGCCTTGGAGAAACTTATTTGCCAGGTGGCTGAAGGACAGGGATCTGGGAAGTAGATTCCGTTCACATCAGCCAGATGACTTTAAAGATACTCATCTTCTATTTGAAATGAAATTGCCTTGTGTTTTTTCTGTCCCCAAGACGAGCTTACCAATGTTCAGGAGTAAACAGTTTGCAGTGAAAAGAAGATTTAGTGATTTTCTGGGTCTTTATGAGAAGCTTTCAGAGAAACATTCTCAGAATGGCTTTATTGTCCCTCCTCCACCTGAGAAAAGCCTAATAGGTAAGTTGTGTGGTCTCTATTCTACTTGGATTTTTTTCCTTTGCATTCTTTCTGCAATATACTTTCTAATTAGTATATGAGACTATTGTTAACAGTGTGGAATCTTATGGTTAGGGAAGAGATATTTCCAACGTTTTCCTGTAAATTAGAGAGAAATAGCATGTTTTGACATGTACTCTTTCCTCAGGTGCAGTAGGAAGCTCTGCTTTGAGCTTTCACAGCTCTGTGTGTGTGTGTGTGTGTGTGTGTTGTGTTCATGTTTGTATTGGTATCAGGAGTCTTAAATGATTCCTATTTCCTCCAGGCTGAAATGTAGTAAGTTGGTGGGGGATTGGGGTGGGGGGCTGAGGAACCTTCTCATTGCCTAATTAGTTGATGTTTATTAATCAATACTCAGAGTCCTATGGCCCCCTTTTAGAAAACGTATAATGTTCTGCAACTCCCAGAGTTTAGAACCTTCAGCACTTTGAGACTAGTTCAAAATATGACTGTCATGTAAAGAACCTTTTGTTCATGCCTCCTCATGACATAGAAGTGTAGAAGTGGCCTTTGGTTGTTTTTTGTAATGCTGTTCTCCTTGCCTTTCTTCTTGTGGTTTTTTTGTTTTTGTTTTTTTAATTCATGATGATTTAGTTAGTTTTTTATTGTTTTTGTTTTTTTAATTCATGATGATTTAGTTAGTTAGTTTTACTATTCAAACTCCATTCCAGGAATGACAAAAGTAAAAGTTGGGAAGGAAGATTCTTCTTCTGCAGAATTTCTTGAAAAACGGAGGGCCGCTCTAGAAAGGTAAGGGCCATTGAATGACATAAAAACAGGTGAGAAGCTGAAACTGAGACATAATCATGAAACATTCACTGAACTTAGTAGAGATGAGACTTGACTGAATTAAAGATTCACACCTCTATAAGCTCTTTAACCTTTCCTAAGTCTCTGACCTTCCCACCTTAGGAACAGACCATCTTTTCTTTCCTCATCCTGAGTGAGCAGACAAGGATATTCCCTTGGACAGTCAAATATGAATGGCTCCGAGGTCTCTTTCAGAGCAGTTATTTTTCTTCCCTTTTTAGAAAAGTGAAGAACATGAATTTGAATGTGCTTTTAAGCAGAGTCACACTTAAGTGCCTTATCTGAGGACATCTTAAAAGTAATGGAAGACATTGTACCCTTGCCTACACTGTATGACAGCCAAAACCTTGTGAGGCCAGGTTGACTAGCCAGATAACTGCTTATACCTTGTAGGTACCTTCAGAGGATTGTGAATCATCCTACCATGTTACAGGACCCTGATGTCAGGGAGTTCTTGGAAAAAGAAGAGGTTAGTATTATACAAACTGAATTTCATAATTTCTCTCTGCCTCTAGTGAAATGAAACTAGTTCATTCAACAAACATTTGAGCGCTTTACATGCATTTAGCTTAGTACGAGACTGTATCCTAATTTGTAAGCCCTCAAGAATGACAGGTATTTTTCAGCCTTTGAAATAAAAGAATTTCTGCCTGTAGTCGAAAGCAACTGGTTTTAGAGGTCAAACTGCAGCCTAGTTTTGTCTTACTGGAACAACACAACGATCTGTTTGGCAAGTCCTTTTCATGTCTTTCATAAGTTACTACTTGGCTCAAATTGAATGCTTATTTTATGCCAGGAGCTGAGGGGCGTTGGTTCAAAATCAGTTACCACAGACCACTGAACTGCCACGAGCAAAAGTGTTGATTCAAGTAGACAGTCTTTTTTTACAGGCTATGCATAGGCTATTCATGATTGTGAAAAATTGGAGATGGCCCAATTACTAACAATTGAAGAAGTAAGTGAAATATACCAATACGACAAGTACTTTATTCTTATCATGAACAGAAAGTATACAGAAGTATTTATATATATTCATTGGAAATATACATTAAAAGAATTACATGGGGTGCCTGGCTGGCTTAGTTGGTAGAGCATGTGACTCTTGATCTCAGGATCATGAATTTGAGCCCCACGTTGGGTGTAGAGCTTACTTTAAAAAAAAAGAAAATTTATAAAAAGTGAAACTTGAAACTGCATGTATATAGAGCTATGGGAACATGTTAGTCATTAAGAATCAAAAGAAACACTGGAATAAAAGAATGTTGTATCTCATACCAAAAAAACTAGAAGGAAGTAAGTGACAGGGTAGGACTATCATTTTGTATTTGGTTTTTCATTTTGTTTTTACTTTAGAATTTTTATTTACATATAGTATGCATTACTCTCATGAAGAAAATGGTACTAAGTATATATGGGGTTTTTTCCCCCCAAAATGAAATTTTTTAATTACAGTTTCTTTACCTTATGCAGAAATCTTTTCATTCCTCTGGGAATCCTATATCCATTTTTCTTTTTTAGTCCCTCATCCCCACTTCATACCCCTAAAACAGGGTTTGTCTACAACAGCACTTTTGACAATTTGGGCTGGATCATTCTTTGTTCTAGAGAGCTGCCCTGTGCATTGTAGGTTTAGCAGCATCCCTGGCTTCTATCCACTAGATGCCAGTAGCACCCCTCCCCAGTTTGAACAACCAAAATTCTCTCCAGCCATGGCCAGATGTCCCCTAGGGGGCAAAATGGCCCCAAGTTGAAAACTACTGCCCTAACAGTCCTGAGCACCAAAATCTAATTTTTCAGCATGGTATACTATAATTACTGTAGATTCTTTACCATCCCTTCCATACCTTAGGAAAGTAGTGGTAAGACTGAACCAACCAAGGGGCGCCTGGGTGGCTCAGTCGTTACGCGTCTGCCTTCGGCTCAGGTCATGGTCCCAGGGTCCTGGGATCGAGCCCCGCATCGGGCGCCCTCCTTGGCGGGAAGCCTGCTTCTCCCTCTCCCGCTCCCCCTGCTTGTGTTCCCTCTCTCGCTGTGTCTCTCTGTCATATATAAATAAATAAAATCTTTAAAAAAAAAAAAAGACTGAACCAACCAAAAGTAACCTCAATCTGAACAAATAATGCTCCTGTCCTTAGACCTTTGTTCACTGAGGAAAATCCAAATGGAATCACAGCACAGCTTCAAAGCTTCTCAAGACCTTACATCCAGCTGTGTGCAGAGTATGCTAATCCAAAGGGTCTTTTAACAAAAGCATGTTTGATATTTAGGAGTTCATGCTGGGATGGCAGACAGTCTCAACACGAGGTCACCTGGCCACATAACAATCCTATTCTCATTTCTTTCTGCACACTATATCAAAAGCTGAAAATTTTGTTAACTCTGTTTAACATAGTACTTTGATTTTTTTTCCTTTCTCTACGTGCTAGTTACAGATGTGTCTAACTGCCTTTGAAAACAACAGTCTACAGTTCAAATGATTTTTTTGGCAAGTTTTGGGCATACTATCTGATGGATACTAATTCTTCTGAACCTAAAATAGGGGCAGCAGATAACATGCCATCCCGCCTTCTTGGTCTTGTAGCTGCCGCGCGCCGTGGGTACCCAGACTTTGAGTGGCGCTGGTCTCCTCAAGATGTTCAACAAAGCCACAGATGCCGTCAGTAAAATGACCATCAAGATGAATGAATCAGACATTGTGAGTAGCCCTGTGCCTCTCAGCTTCCCCTGCTCCCTCAGTCTTATGGGTCAGAAGCCCTGAGGAGTCCTGAATTTCTCAGAGACTTTCCTTTTAAGATAACTCAGTCCCTTTGTTAAAAAACTGCTAAGGAAATGCTGTGCTGGACACCTATATGAGTCCCCTCCATTAAAGATCTGGGCTTGTGTGTTTCAGTGGTTTGAGGAGAAGCTCCAGGAGGTAGAGTGTGAAGAGCAGCGCTTACGGAAACTGCATGCTGTTGTAGAAACTCTAGTCAACCATAGGAAAGGTAACAACCTCGGAAATGCACTTGGAGCTGGGGGAAATCGATGTCTCCAGTGAGCTGGAGATGGGAGGGCATCCTGTTCCCAAGCCTATCAGCCATTCAAATTGAAATTCTCAGCCCACCTCGTCCTTGATGTTCTCATCAAAAAGGCATGCCCTGCACCTCCTGCCTCAGCCACTGTGAACATTGTACTCTACCTGGGAAGGGTGCAGGGAAACCATACCACGTACAGCCTCACCTAGAACTTGGACTTAAGTTGGTATAATTTGAATTGGTGGCTTATATCCAAAGTGATGTCACATACTTCAGCTACATGATCAAATGGGCAATATGTAAATTCATGGAAACCATGTGTGTCTCCTAACCTTTGCCTAAGCGCTACTGAAATTTGCCAAGTTTGAATGCTTTCCTTCTCTGCCTTAAACATGGTATAATCAGAAATCGAAACAGGCAGAAAACCGTTAGAATTGAAGGCAGTGTAAGGGTTGGCAAAATAGGGTCTAGCCCGTGGGCCTCATCTGGCCCTCAGTCTATTGCTACGAGCTAGGAATGGTTTTTACATTTTTAAAGTGAAGAGTGAAAAAAGAGATAAAGTGAGACCATATGTGGTCCATAAAGGTTCAGTCATCTGGCCCTTCACAGAAAACGTTTGTCCTGCTCTAGAACATATAAGACTATGCATTGTGCACATACATTCACTGTCTCTCATGCGAACAGACTACTAACAGTGAGCTTTAACATAAAAATTAGAATCATTCCTTTGGCCTATTTGTATTAACTGGCCCATAGTTCTCCAGGAATATTGGAGCTGCTTCTTCCAGGTAGGCCTCAACCTAGTGAAACTTAGGCCAGCAGGTACCTCTTCCTGCTCATGTGACCGCACTGCACTTCCCTCACTCTCTTAAGTACAGACGGCCGTGGTGTAAGGGGCTGGGTTGCAGAGCCCCCCGTCGTTAGATATGCAGAGGGCAGCTTTGCTAAGGCATGCCATGCAGTACCAGCTGACTTGTCCCTTTTCCTTGTGAGATCAGAGGCCTCTGCTGTCTTCTTCCAGAGCTAGCGCTGAACACAGCCCAGTTTGCAAAGAGTCTAGCCATGCTTGGGAGCTCTGAGGACAACACAGCATTGTCACGGGCACTCTCCCAGCTGGCTGAGGTGGAAGAAAAAATTGAGCAACTCCACCAGGAACAGGCCAACAATGACTTCTTCCTCCTTGCTGAGCTCCTGAGTGACTACATTCGTCTCCTGGCCATAGTCCGAGTAAGCTTCTGTTTCCTTTCCTCATTCTCCCCCTTCCCCTTGATTTAATTTGTCTTTCTTTTGCTTTTCCCCTTCCCAAGAAACTTCCATCCATTATAGCTGAAAATAGGTGTAGCTTTTTTCTACTAGAGAGAAGGTATCTTGTGAACCAAAAAATCCATTTAACTGTTAGCTAGTTATCACGGAGTCATTTTGAGGCCTACAGCCAGTTTTTAAAATGCATTTAGAGAAAAGACTATTCTTGAATTTCCAAGTAGGCCCCTCCTTATTGTTGAAGCTGGACAGTGCTCCTTTCTTCAAACGAGGTGAATTACAGACCTGCTGTCTTGGCCCCCTGGAGCAGTGACTTCCTCAGTCCTTTGGTCTTTGCCTCCTTAACAGTAAGCGGCGGCTGTGCCCTGGTAAGAGCTCTTGCTGGCTTCCACTTGTCCCTCTAATGTGGGCAGTCAGGTAACTACATGGAACCGGCTTGGCGTTGCATGGAGGAGTGTGGCCAGGGGGCTGAGAGAGCTTGTCACCAGAGTCCTTTGCTGTGCTGACCACACTGGTAACAACACTGCGGCCTGCCTCTCAGGTCAGGCACCTCACCTGTTCTCCTGGTAACCAGGGCAGTCTGGTTTCCTGTGACCTTTTAGAGCGGCCAAGGAGGCTTCACTGGACAGTGGTATTAGCTCTTGAACGGCCTCCCCGTGATAGAGGAAAGAGCCAAGAGGGATCCTGGCACCTGCCTTATAAGGCCTCAGTCTGCCACTGAACCAGCTTGGGACCAGGATGAGCCTCCTGAGTTGGAGCAGAGCCAACCTCACTCCCCATCTCCAGCATCTCCCCCACCAGGGAGCTCCTGTGTTGTCGAGACCTGAGCTGCTCCCAGGGCTCTCATTTCCTCTATGGTAGAGTTGCTCAGTATAGCCTGTGAGGTTGCTCATTGTCCTCTCCCTCAGCTGTTTGGTTTGCTGCTAACTACAGATAGATAAGAGCTGGAAAAATAACCTGCTTTGGAATTCGTAGAACTGGTCAGACTACAAAGACTGGAGCGCCACATCAGGGAAGGGCCCTCTCTGGGGAAGTTTTCAGAGGGGGGCATTGTTTGGAGTCTCAGGAGAGCGCAACTCTTGGATGTGACCCCCCTCCCAGGCTGGGTGAGCCCCTGTGGACAGCGGTGAGAGTGGTCCAGCCTAGAGCTCCGTGCAAGGGCTGGGGCAGCATGCCTGTGCGCAGAACTACGAGCTGGGCTTCTCTCAGAGACCCTTCACCTGCCCTCATAATCATGAGCTGGCGGAAGGATTTGAGGAGATGAGCAAATACTTCTTTTCTGCTATTCCCTGAATCTGGAGCTGCACCGCTCTTAACCCAGAGGGTTAGGCTTGAGTCTTACGTGGATACGAAGTTACCCTTTACCTGTCCTTTGACATTGAGCTGCTTGGAAATTGCAAGTGAGTACAAGTGACAGTCAGTGCTGGGAAAGGTGAATGTGGTGGCATTTCAATCCCTAAGGTTTAAACTTTAGCAAAGGCCTGCACTAAGGAGACCTAGAAAACATCCAGGGAACTTCTGCAGCAAAGGAGAGCAAATGGAACAGGGCTGGGAGGCTGGCCCCAGGTACGGATCTCTCATCCAGGCCACCTCTTGAAGGCTACTGAGCCAGTGGGGGTGGTGGATGGTGTGGCTAGGCCAACAACTCTCCTCTGGAAATGTGATTAAGGGACTAGAATTAGGGCAAACCAGCAAGTGGACCTTGGGGAGCTTCTTTTTTTTTTTTTAAGATTTTATTTATTTATATGACAGAGAGAGACACAGTGAGAGAGGGAACACAAGCAGGGGGAGTGAGAGAGGGAGAAGCAGGCTTCCCGCCCACCGAGCAGGGAGCCCGACGCGGGGCTCGATCCCAGGACCCTGGGATCATGACCCGAGCTGAAGGCAGATGCTTAACGACTGAGCCACCCAGGCGCCCCCTTGGGGAGCTTCTTGTGAGCCTTGCTAGCCTTCCACAGTTGAATGTATAGATGAGATGGAAGCCGTGTGTCCCATGGTAGCTTCAAGTATTTATTTAGAGATCTGTTAAGCTAACCCTGTATACTATTTGATGTTAATTTAAAGGTTGCTTCTTTAGATTGGCCTGCCCTGGTATAATCTTCCAGGCTAAGCTAGGTCTCCAGTTCTGTTATTTTGTTATAGGTCCCCTGTTTGTTTTCTCTGTACTCTGCATACCTATAATTATTTATTGGTAATTTTTATTATAATGTCTGCCTTTTCTATTAGATTATAAGCTCCAGTAAAAGCAGAACCACATGTTTCATTCCCCACTGTCTTCTTAGTTCCTGGCACATGGCAGGAGCTCAGGAAAAGTGTGGAGACCCATGGACTAACCTGAGGGAGGCAGTTTGGAAGCCATAGTCCTGGGCATTGGCATCAGGCCACCTACCATGCTCCCAGCCACTCAGCCTTGGGAATAGCATGAAGCAGCATGGCACTGGCCTCCGGGAGGCTTGGAGAGGAGTCTTACCCGAGCTTGTGCATTTTGATGTTAAGCTTCCAGCTGGGCACTAACATGTGGCTGCAGAATCTGCCCTTCTCTAGCACAGCTGCTGGGAGAGAGTCCCCCTCCCCCCACCCTGCCCCCGGCAGAGCCAGTGGAGCTCCTGAAGGGCTGGTTGTGCTCTTCCCCAACCCCCCACCCCCCACAGGCTGCCTTCGACCAGCGCATGAAGACCTGGCAGCGCTGGCAGGATGCTCAAGCTACGCTGCAGAAGAAGCGGGAGGCTGAGGCTCGGCTGCTTTGGGCCAACAAGCCTGACAAACTGCAGCAGGCCAAGGATGAGATCTTAGAGGTAAGGCCTCCCATGGCAGACCAGTGGAGGTATTCGGCTGGCTCCTGAATGAGCCCAGGTCCCATCCCCCCCCCCCCCAGATGCTTGAAACCCCATAGCAGGCAAGAGAGCTATTTTGAGTCTAAAGGACGCTGGCTGCTGGGGAAGCCTCTGAGGAGTCCAGGCTTGCTCTTTTTTTAAAGATTTTTTATTTATTTATCTGAGACAGAGAGAATGAGAGAGAGAGAGCACATGAGAGGGGGGAGGGTCAGAGGGAGAAGCAGACCCCCTGCCGAGCAGGGAGCCCGATGCGGGA